CCGTCTACAGTGTTGGGAAGGGGACCATAGATATCAGTGCCGACACGGCCGAATGGTCGGGATGAACATGGCAAGGGTAATAAGGTACCGCTGGCGTGATGAGCGGGAGTCTATCGTCTCTGGCACGTCGAGCAAGCCCGAACGTATTGTCGTATAAAATGGTACATGCCACGCCAGTAATATCGGAGCCGTGTGCGAGAATAAGTCTTCAGGAAACCTGAGTGGCCACATTGGGGGTTGCCATGAAACGTGGAACGAATTTCGCATCGCAGATGACGTGGAATCAAGAGTAGCCAGTGACGTCCATTGGGTGCGTTGTTGCGTCGCTACAGCACGTTGTCGCGAGTGGTGAAGTGCTCGACTTACGGACGCAACGTGCGAGTAGGGTGAGAAGTCGTCCACCCAGCCACGATGTCTAGAATCGAAGCAACCCAAGGGTCCTTGCGTTGCTCAGATGGCATGTCGGCGATGGTGACAGCAGTGGCGTCACAGGTTAGACTTTCGTAGCAGTCCGGGTCAGGGGGTAGAGGCGAACGGGATAGGGCGTCTGCGTCCGAATGTTTCCGGCCGGAGCGATAGACCACGCGAATATTATATTCTTGGAGGCGTAATGCCCATCGGGCGAGGCGACCGCTTAGATCCTTCAGTGACGACAACCAGCAGAGGGCGTGGTGGTCAGTCACGACGTCGAAAGGGCGCACGTACACGTAAGGTCGAAATTTCTCTATCGCCCAAATAATGGCGAGGCATTTATTTTCAGTGATGGAATAGTTTATTATAGTTTATTTCGGCTTTGGTAAGAGTTCAGCTTGCATAGGCAACCACGTACTCTTCGAAGCCGTCTTTCTGCTACGCAAGAATAGCGCCTAGCCCGACACCACTAGCGTCGGTGTGGATCTCTGTGGGTGCTGATGGGTCGTAGTGTCGCAGAATAGGCGGCGACGAATAGGGCTGGACAACGTCGGTGACAGCCTGTGGGTTCCTAGCGACGAGCATCTGGAAGGTGTCGTCATCAACTCAATTGATGATGTGCTTAATTTTGTCGTGTTCGGTTAGAGATGCATAGACGCTCTTGCAAAGAGACAAGACATCTTCGATGTAACTTTTAAAGGTCTCGTACCTGCGCTTAACTCGACTACGCAGACACTGTTCCGCGCGAAGCCAGCGCGCGGTGGGACGACCGAAGACCGCGGCGATGGTGGTCTTGAAGGCGGATCAGTCGGTGATTTCGGCTTTGTGGTTCTTAAAACAGAGGCTGGCCACATCATTAAGGTGAAAGCGCATGTTCGTGAGCTGGTCGCAGGCATTCCATTTGTTGGAAGCGTTTACGATTTAGTACTCGACAAGCCAGTTCTTCACGTCTTGTTCGTCGTCGCCGCGAAAAATTGGTGGGTCGCTTTGCCGAGGCACGCCAGTACAGAAGACTGTCGTTGGTGCGGCAGCATGAGAAGGACCAGGAGCATTCATGGTGAGCGGTGAGGGTAGCGTCCGATTGCAAAGTGACAGGTTGATGGGAACCCCGGCTCCTCCACCACGTAAAATAGAGGTGTTGTACGTCGAGAAAGGTTCACACGAAGCTTGACGAAAGGTGCTTTATGAGGCAAGCCTGGCTACTGGCAAGCGGCGTGCACGAGCTACTACTACTGCCACTGGTCGTCATCGTCTTCTTCAGTAACAACAAAGCGTCCGTTATTCAGATTCATTACAATATATATATATATATATATATATATATATATATATATATATGTGATGCTTTGATGAATTGGGAGACGTGGCCTGGCTCATACCCCATGTTTATTCCGTTCTGACTTCTTCCTTCTCGGCCTCTACCAACCATCGCTTCCTCGCTTCATACGTCACACGATTCCCCCTCCCCCCGAAAGAAGGCATGAATTAAGAACAAGAAAAAGTAAACAAGGAGAAGTTGAAAAGTCACAAATGTCAAAATTCACAATTGGTTCTATGCTCCAGGGGACTTCCGTAAACTTTCAAAGACTTCAGGGGAGCGTGCACCAGTCCGATTAACGCAGGAGTTCTGGTGGGCGAGGCTGCTGGTTGTGTCCTAAATAACACAAAAATGCTTGAGACGTAGAGATAGGGGTAATCACAGCTGTCATTCTTGTGAAGAACGAACGAGGTTCTAACATCTTGCAGAATCGACAGTTCTCATATTGTAGGCATCGAATGTCTCGTCGTGGGTGATACACAGGCCGTGCAGCCAGCTTGCGTGCTTGTTGATCGAGGTTGATTGGGCGCTGCCTGTGTTCCTGCCGAGTACAAGGGGTGCTTTTGTGGCTTTTGGAGATTTTTATATAGCTATGTCGCAGATGTTTTGATCGAAGGCGTATTTTCAATCTCTGGTGGAGAATGTATCTACGACAATGGGCCTTTTCGCAATGTTCTTTGAGCCTTAAGAGGGGTTTCGATGAAGTTTTCTTTCGTCGTTGACAATGATGAAGAATACGTTGGCGTTGTAGTTTCTTGGTGTCATCGACTTGCTTGTGGTGCGACATTGATCGCGGTGTGCCCGGATTCTTTGCAAGCCCTCCGCAGGCTTCTACGGCGCCAACCAATGCAGCTGTTTCTGGCGCAAGCCAATGGGGGAGGGGGGGGGGGGTTCGCGCACTTGAATCTTCTGTATTCATAAACCGCTCATTGTTGGTCGTTGCCTGAAGGGTACTTGTGTCATCAGAAGTCACACCTACGCTTTTGTTTTCAGTGTTGGCAGTGAGGTTGTGCACTGGATTGACGTCGCTTCGATCTTGTGATTGATGAACACTAGACGCTTCTGCAAAAGACTTTTCTTCACAAGATGCTGATTCTGAATGCTTTTGTCTTTGTGGAACTGCTGAGCTGAATACCAAGTCAGTTTGAAAAGTCCGCATCTGGCACCAAGTATGCAATGCATTTGAGTCATCAATAGTGGATTCAATTCTTTAATGCAGCGGAGAGTTAAGCATTGACGATATTTGCGCGCATGAGGGCATAGGTAGAAGGTTGGGAAAACGACAGCGTGACCTTTCCATGAGCATGTGGCTAACTTCACCTGACGGGAATTGTAAATTCATGCTCTGTGCTCGTATGCGTGAAGGCTGCTTATGACTGCGATGACTGAGTTCGAATGCACTGAGAGCGTGTGTTCTAATTGAATCTTCATTAGAGTCTTCAAACCAGACAATCATTTCCTCTTTTATCTTTTGCCAAGACTCGTCGTTGTCGAATATGTGGGTAAGGTAAAATTTAAATGCCTCACCGGTGACGTAGTCGCTGAGATTCGTAACCATCTCCAGTTCAGACCAAGATGCAGCGGTAGCGTGGAACTCAAACAGGTCGAACCAGTCTTGTACGGGTCCATCGTCTGCTGCTCCGGTGTACTTGGAGGTGGGAAGGTCAGTAGATGCTTCTGACATGATGCTGGTCGATGCGTAATGCTAGGCGCTTGCACGGAAGTCCATGTATGCTCAGGGTGTCTTGTGGAGAACTGTGTCGACGATGAGACACTGATGAAGTGGCTGGGAGGTCTTCATCCTGTCGACTTGTGTGACGCTTTGATGAATTGGGAGACGTGGCCTGGCTCATACCCCATGTTTATTCCGTTCTGACTTCCTCCTTCTCGGCCTCTATCAACCATCGCTTCCTCGCTTCATACGTCACACACACACACATATATATATATATATATAAATATATATATATATATATATATATATATATATATATATATATATATATATATATATATATATATATATATATATATATATATAATCTGGCCTTCATCAGGATTTGCGATCCTTATGAAGGCCAGACTCTAGGCCGAAACGTCGAAATAAACCACGTTGTGACCGGTCCCGGAGGATTTACTTGAATATATGCAACGCTACGGCCACTCAACTACCATGCCTGCCTATATATATACATACATACAAATATATATATATATATATATATATAGGTATGGGTTATGGCACAACGGGAACGTTGTCAACCAGGATAAATATATTTATTTATTTCCCAACAGTTTCGGGAGGGGTCCTCCCTTTATTAGGGGACCCTCCCGAAACTGTTGGAAAATAAATTAATATATTTATCCTTGTTGACAACGCTCCCGTTGTGCCATATCCCATACCTTCACGAAGACTAACTGGCCCCATGAATAATTATTCCACTATATATATATATATATATATATATATATATATATATATATATATATATATATATATATATATATATATATAGCACTGCTGTGCACTGAGCTCGCTAAAAATGATCGGCGTATACTAAGCTCTGTGAAATTATTTGAAACATTCGTGAATGCTGTAGCTTAAGTCTAGCTACATGCTTCCCATTGTAGGAGAGAAGTGGAAATTTCAAGGGGTCGTTTTGCTTTGGTATACAAAATAATAGCGAGAACTAACATACAATGTAGCCATGGAATATAAAGCGAGTGATAATATTAGAATCCGCTTTGCTTTACTTAGCCTTGTTGTGTATAAATACTCATGAGCTTATTTCCCGCTGGTTATTTTCAAGGCGCAACACATCTTTATTTTTTTATGAAGGCACATGAACACTGCAAAATAAAAGCCGTGGTTCTGCTGGTTCATTTCGCAGTTGTTTTTTTTTTTTTCGAGGAAAAGCCGCCAAGCCCATTTTTATCAGATTGCAGCCATTATTTGGAAGGATACGAGCTAATAGAAATAAGGAATATGCAGGAACTCTGCACGTGAAATATACTTGTGCAACCATGCTGAAGAAAGTTTAGCGAAGCTGCATTGTGCTCCAGAAAAAAAGCCTCCTTTTAGAAGGGGCAATGTTATATTTAAGACGTTTTATAGTAATTAGGACCAAGTAAAGGCTGCTGTCTCTATTTACAAAATATATGTGTTTTTCATAAATTTCATGCTTTCCACTTCATTGGCTACAATGCTAACGATTTACACCAAGAGATTCTGATACACTTTTCATGTTTAGTAGGTATATTGTGTACTCACCATATGACCAAGATATGGATACCACTTCAAAGAAGATAAGGAACAGCAGCGCGAACCCACTGGCAGCGTAGTACTCGAATAACTGGAACACGTACATGCCACCCTGCGGCAAAGAGACGTCGCAAGTCATTTATTATTGTTTGCTAAAATCTTGCTATATGAACCAATAAAGGTGCATTCGTGCATCAAAGTGGGTCCTGCATGCATTGACTGAGGCTTTAAGCCAAGATTTGCTTAAGTTTTCTGGCGGCCTTTTTTTTTTTTGCAAACGGCGATGGGCGTAACACTTGTCGTCTGTCTGATAGGTCGAAGTAAGTTCTACATAGATGCTAGAGATGAACTGGAGCCATTATTATTCGCGTAATCCTGGAAACGCCGAAGTCATGAACATAAGTTGAGTGTACCTTTGTTAAAAGAACAGAAATTTAGACAACTTCGTACTGATTCATGAAGGTATTTTGAAACATAAAGCACAAAATACATAGGAAAAAATAGTCTTGTCTACTTCTTTTTGCGTAATTTGTGCTTTGCGCTTCCGAATACCCTCATGTATCTTTGTTAAGTAGAAAAGTCAGTTGTAAATATAAGGTGCTCGAAAAGCTGCCTGAAAAGTATGGAAAACTGGACCTCAACACCGAGGTGAGTTGTTGTAGAGGCAATGCGTGAGGTCCCGGCCGAGGCGAACCTCCAGGTTCTAGATAGTAAGCTTCTGCAAACAAGGCAGGCTACAAGTAGCCCACAAGCCCGATGAAATGCACAACGACGCTATAAGATTTCACGTAAGAGAATAGCTAAAGTAAATAAAGGCATCGAGGAATACCAATTACAGCTTTGCGAGTCCCTGTGGGAAGAGACGTGTAATAGAATGGATAGTAGGGTAGGGTTAACATGGCGTAGAATCTCCGTAGGTTTATACTGGAGCGAAAGGAGACCAAAACGGCAGATAGACAGAAGTCAATAAGATAATAAACGAGTATGAAGGAACCAACGACAAACTTTCGCACAAACTCAGATACACTAATTGAGCCATACTCGTGCCAAACTCTGAATACCAAGGCACTGCATTGAAAGCTTAGATAGACAGTTTAGCATTCTTAAAATACGTGTGGTTTTTCACATACTCAAGACAAAACTGGCACCCGGATCGGACGGGGTTACTGAGAAAATGCTTCAAATTCTGGATCACATCGATATAGCAACTCACAGTTTTCGTTAACGAATGCTGGGAAAAGGGACGTATTCCATGACAGTGGAATATGGTCTGCATAGTTATGATAACTAAACTTGGAAGGTGACTACAGCTGGAAAATATAAGGCCGATGTCGCTGACGGTTCTAAGTTGGTAAGGTCATGAAGCTCGCAGACTAACCAACTTTCTTGAAGACCATGATCTGATTCCTCACAGGGTTTCAGGAGGAACCTCTCCACTTAAGGCGCCTTGCTCTTAGTAGAGCATCAGATATTAGACAGCATGCTGCAAAATGCACTTCAAGATTTTTATGTTGCCATCTGTCATTTACGTTCGCAACAGCCACGTCACACAATACGCCAATTGTAAATATTAAGCTGACAAAGTGAACGCGGCTGCACCATGAGCATGACCAGACATTTGTGTCATATATGACATGCAAGTCATGATTTTCAGGTTACTATCCTTGTTTTATGTCCGCCATACAGTCAAGTCACGCAATACCAAATTTTTTACGCGTCAATCTAGCGACACAGCCACGAGCGCACAATGAGAATGGCAAGTAAATTATGTATATCAGAGGCACGTTATCAATTTATTGTTACCACCTGACAATTATGTACATCCTAAAAAAATGTCTTTATTATTAGTATTTATCATTCATTTGAGCAGTTGCGAACGCACCATGAGCTTGGCAAATAACCATTGTCGTATATGATCTGCATGTCATTGTTGTCATGTTGCCCTTTCACACTTGTTTTCGTCACGCGGTCAGCTCACGCAATACCACGATTCACTTTGCGCAACACGTACACGGGCTAGTAGTTATGCTCTTGTTTTTCTGCACGTGTTTTCTGTACTAGGTTACAACTTTCTGCGGCAGCACAGCCAAAGCTACAAAGTCCGAAAGCGTATCCTTCCGCTTGTAGTCCCCGAACGCTAACATTTGTATACTTCGTAGCGTAAAAGGAAATATAAAAAGAAAAATTTTAAACTCTGGGTGAACGATCGCTCGCATTAATATTAAGAAGCGTGACCCGTGCAAGTTCTTCGTCCTCTGCTGCTTCTAGTTTTCTGGTTTTCTGGCGTCATTTCACTTTTTTTTTCAACCCCGGTAAACGATGGCTTCGCTCGGTTTCAGCAAGTTCACATCGAAGAATCTGAGCAAGCATGAGAGCGTATTCCTTAGGTGATATGTATTCATCAAGCCGGGACAAAAGAAGTCAGTGGTGGTAATGAAATATTTTGTTTGCGCTCATGCAATCACCGAGTGGTTGTTTGCGAGTGATACCATCTGCGAAAGTGGGACTCTAATCGATATAATCGAAAATTATGCAGAAGCGCACTAAAAAATAGACGGACAGAAAAGGCTGACAATGACAGCGCTTGCTCGCACAACTGAAGGTTTATGTGTCATTTATGAACTTTTCAAGTACTACTTGCAAGTGTTTTGCAAGTAAATATAATAAATGACACATAATATGAACTATTTTCGTAAAACCGACACGAGTGATTTCTGTTGCACCCTGTTCTGATACACAAACGTGAAAGACTATGTATCCGCTTTAAATTCTTTTTTCTGACTAACAAACTTTGAGTTCTGAGAGCAGGCGCTGTCATTGTCAGCCTCTTCTATCCGTCTGTATTTAGTGCGCTTCAACACAATTTTCAATTACGAACGTAATCCAACTGGCCCAACTTGCCATCTTGCTGCTCTAATCGCTATAGCCACCTTTAAAGTGACACTGGCGACCTGCCAGTATTCAGCAACACCAACGTTTTGGTAGTAAAAGTGCAATTAGAAGCTGTTCATAAAAGCAATGAACCTTTTCCTAAATGTAGCTGCATACGTGGTCGGCCTTATGGCTGCGTAATGTCCTTGACGCGATAGCGCTGAAGATCGCGTGCTGTTACATCGTTCCCGTCGGCGTCTACGGAGGAAGTGGTTCTTTGCGCTTCGCGATTACAGCGATTTACGGGGATAAAATTACCAGTGCTAAGCTTCGCCCAAACAACAGACGCGCTCATGTATATTACCCTATTGACGGTGTTAAAACAGCGGTCTTCCCAGAGTAAAGACTGCGTTTAAACCACTTTGATTTACTCACATCAGACACCGGCTCCTGATTAATCGGTACCAAGATTTTTGCTTCCTGTCATTGCATTCGGGTTGCGTAAAAATTGGCAGATCCCACGTACAGTGGGAATCAATGATATGTGAAGCACGAATGAGAAATGTTGATATGTCACCATCAAATCAGCTTAGCGTTACGAGGTGGAGTAGCAGATGATTTACATGACTTCCGTGTCATGGTTATCATGTTTGAATGTGTCGTTTCCCTTCGTCATCTATGCGCGTCACGTGATACCAAGTTTAGTATATGTGGAGCTAGCGAAACGGCCGCGTGCATGCTGTGAGCATGGTGTGTTGTCATGTTCCTACATGACACGCCTGTCAGGATTATGATGTTTGCACCAGCACCATATTTCTTCATCCATTGACGTCACGTACTACCGAATTTGGTATGAGTGCAGCTAGCAAAACAGCCGCGAGCGCATCATGAAGAGGCCAATATACTCCAATGTAGCGTGAATGGGCGCGCACGCTGGGCTTAGCGACGCTACGTTAGCAAAACGCGAGCTCACGATAGTCTGCCGCCAGGCGCGACCAGCGTCCGTCAGCGCGGCCCGACGGCAACCGGCGCGAAATGCGACATGCTGAATTTCGTGCCGTTGCGTTACCCAGACAACACTGCGTCTCCCTCTTTTCGAGACGGAGGACGCCGGACGCGCGGAAATGCGCATGCATTAAAGCAACGTAACGCAGCGCGGCGCGCGCCTGCGAGTATATGGCAGGACCGGCGCCTGGCGTGGCAACGCCGGCGTGACGCGAGGAAATGAACGCCTGTGAGCACGCGCACCGCGTCACATTGAAATCTATTGGCGCCTTGACTGTGGCATGTAGTCATGTTCTCACATGACACGCATCTCATGATTATCATGTTTGCACCAGTCACATACATTCGTCATCCATTGGCGCCCCGTAATTTCAAACTTGGCCTATGTGAAGCTAGCGAAACGGCCGTGAGCGCATTATGAGTGTGGCATGTAGTCATGCTGTTACATAACATGCATGTCGTGATTATTATGTCTGGCTGTGTCATTTACCTATATTGTCCGTTCACGTCGCGTAATACCAAGTTTGGTACATGTGAAGCTAGCGAAGTGGCCGCGAGCACATCATGAACGTAGTATGTAGTCATGTTGTTACATGACACGCATCTCATGTTTACCGTGTTTGCACCAGTATCGAACCTTCGTCATCCATTCACGCCCCGTAACACCAAATTTGGTAAAAGTGAAGCTACCAAAACTGCCGCCAGGGCTTCATGAGTGTGACATGTAGTCCTGTTGTGGCATGCCAAGCATCTCATGATTATCATGTTTGAACCAGTCACATACCTTTGTCATTAACTCACGTGCTGTAATACCATATTTGGTATATATGGCACTAGCGAAACAACCACGAGCGCATCATGAGCGTGGCTTGTAGTCTTGTTGTGGCATGACACGCATGTCATAATTTTCATGTAGAGTGTATCACTTGTGTTCGCCATGCCATCATGCCATAGTTTACTGGTTTCTCAACATGCCGTGTGAATAAAAACTCCGTAAGAGCTGCAGGACCACGAAATGTAAATAATGACATTCATGACTACATGTCATAATCTTCATGTTATTACTTGTCAAGTTTGCTATATGAACAACCACGTTATGCTATACCAAGTATCGCATCAATACCATTATCGAAACAGCCGGGAGAGCTAAATGTCGCAGGCGGATAGATAGATAGATAGATAGATAGATAGATAGATAGATAGATAGATAGATAGATAGATAGATAGATAGATGGA